CTGCACAGACAAGCAGGGCAGGTGGGGAAACGTGCTGTAAAGATATTGCAGCACCAAATCTTGAAAGTTACCAACTCTAAATTACCCTAAGGGACTGGGGCAGGAGTGGGCCAGGGAGGGAGAGGGATTATTTGACGGCATGGGGAAATTGTGATTACTGCAGTGATGTGCCTGGGTCGCTGAGAGGGGGTGGAGGTGCGATGTCCCTCCGGTGCCTCCCTGGGGGTGAGGAGGAGGCTCTCCGCTCCTCCAGGACGGGGGCGTGCAGGTTCCCCATCTGCTCGTTGAGATCCCAACAGCTCCAATGCTTCCACATGGCGTGGAAGGACCATTGGTAAGGTATTCTGGATATATGGGAGTGGGCACAGCACTGAAACCTCTCCTTTTAATGACAACATTCACTTAAAATTGTTTAAAAAATTATTTTAAAAATTATTTTCAGGTGCACAGCTCCTGAACTTGCTTCCATTCGCATTTGTTTCACCAAGAAGTAGGAAATTAAAACCTTGGACTTCATGAGGCTTTTTCTGTTCTTTTCCCAAGCCCTGCTTAAACTTGTTATTGCCTTTCCCAGACTTACCAAATTTTGCTCCTGAATGCTGAGGAGAGAGATAGGTACCGGGGAAGAGAGGATAAGGACACACTTCAGCACTCTTCTTCTCGCTTGTGAAAACTTCAGATACTTCATCGAACTCTTTGAATTCAGAAAGAACAAAGCTGTTTCTTATATTAAAAAAAGAAAGAAATAGGAAAAAAAAATATTAAAAAAAAGAAAAAAAAGACCCTGCCTATAATAATGCTGTTTGTTTTTGGAGACGCAGGGATTTTTCTGAATAGTCTGAAAAGTTTTCCCCACCTATGCTTACTGAGCATCCTGGCACTACAGAGTGCCGTTGGCTAGGGGAACCAGCAGCCACACGACCGACAGTACTCTGGGTGCTGTTTTGTTCCATTTCTTACCACTGACATTTTTTTAAAGCAATATTTCAACAAAAGAAAAAATACTTATATCACCTCAGGGAAAAGCAAGCCTGCAGTGAAATAAATATCTCTTTTGTATCAAAGCGATTCACAATTCCTTTGATAAATCTTATCACTGCAGAGTTTTTCTGCATTGAAACAACCCCATGAAGGGCTGAAAGAATCATCTAAATGCATCTGAACAATTCTGTTTATTTTGTATTCAACAGTGCATCACACAAGCCAGCACAGCATTTCCATTAGTCTTTAAAAATAGTATTAAAGGACGTTTCAGTCTATTTAAATTATTTCTATTTTCATTTAAATTAGTTGCTAAATAACAAGTTCTATACCATCATTATGCTGTAGTATGTGACTGCTAGAAATACACTTCAAACAAAACAAATTAAGGAACCTGGAAATTGCCACAGCAGAGCAAGGACATATTTTTAGGCAAAAATAAACAGAGAACAACAGCAAGTCATCAAAAATATGATAATAACCCAGCCCATATTTAGTGTGCAAAAGGAATGGTACATATGGAATATCTCATTTTACCCTTATGAGGTTTTTATTTGTAAAAAAAATGCATAAAATTTGCAGTTTCCTTACTTAACTGGAAAAGGACTAATTACCTTTTCGGTGGCCTATTTTATCACACCCAGCAGCTCTCTGTGAGTTTTGAGCCGCCTAGGAGCGAGACAGCTGGAACACATCCCGTAGCACCATCCATCACCCTGGCACCGCTGCCATTCCCAGCAGAAACCAGGGCTTCGCTGCTGGCTCTGGACCGCCCCACCTGCAAATCCAGGACCCAAATTAACACAACAGTGGGTTTTATCCAGAGTTTCAATGGCAGGCTCAAGGGCAGGATGGACAGCTCTCCTAGAGGGTGCATCGTCATTAAGGGCAACCCTGAAGATGTAGGATTTACAGCAGCCTGAGTGGAATAAAATGCCAATTTGCTGCTGAACGATGTTATTTCTCAAGGAAGACATTGAAACAGCGTAAGGGTGCCAGAAGCCCGGGGGAAGCAAAGTTTGGGTACTTAATAATAATGAGACTGCCTAACCGGTCATTGATCTAGGGTTGTTTGCCCCAGAGGTGGCATGAACTGACGACAGGAGGTTTCCCAGCGGTGCAGGGAGGCAGGGCTGAGCGGCACCGGACCCCCCATCCCAGCCTGGCACCAGTCGGGCAGTGCGGGGCGGGCACGCAGATGTGCAGAGCAGGGAGGCAGAGCTGTCCCCCGCTGGCAGAACCATCCCAGATCCAGCTGGGACAATTCAGAGCTGATGCCTCCTGCCCTCTGTGTGGTCTCAGGTGAGCAAGGGGGGGCTATAACAAATGCAAACGAACATTTACATTCAGCCTGGCACTTACAGAGTTTACCTCCTGTACTGTCATTATACGCTTTTCCCCAGCATACAAAAAATACTAGGATTGACCTCCATAGGAGTAAACTCTCAGAGGAAGAAAACATGACCCTATTGACTTATCAAAGTCTTCCTTAAACTAAAAACAATCCTTATATTACACATTATGAAATTATACATTATCAAACTACATCAAAACCGTGTTAGAAAAGAAATGCCTTGTGTGAGAGACAGTGAATCAAATAACTGGTCTGAAAAACGCATGTGCAAATGTGTCTGGAATTTTAAAAGTTTCTAGAGCAAGTGCAGTGCCTCCTTCTCCAAGCAGTGCTATATGACCATTACTCTATTAGCTACTACTAACATTTTGATTTTTAATCACTGCCAAAATAATCTAGCTCCCCATAGTTTGCAGCAAGTTAAGGCTAGGATCTTAATTAGCCGTGTGCTATGCGTTGCTTGGATATAGATTATTATTTCCCAAACAGGATCTTGAATATTTTATCTTTGCACTTACCAGTCTTGATCATACACAATCATTTGGATTCTCAAAAAGCCAAACCGGTCTGCCTTCTAACTCATATAAACCCAGAAAAAGCATCCCCCTACTCCCTCTGTCTTGGGAACTGAATTTTCACATGCTAAATATCTTCTGATTAGCTTTTTTTTTTCTTTTTTTTTAAATAGAGTTCAGTTTTAGCATGCCAAAGCACATTTAGTAAAGATAGAGGAAAAAAGTCACAAAGTAACATTGAATGTAAACATATCCACATACTGTCATAATAAATATAAAATATATGAAATGAGAACAGGAATCAAAGCGCATGTGCATATTATGACCCAATACAATTTAAAAAAAATAATTCACATGCTTCGTTCTAAGGTGACTATAAACCACCCCCTCTCCTGTGGCGCTGTCTCTCCTTCCATCAGCTGGTTATTTAGCCTCACCCTGCAGTGTGAGGATGTAAGCTCACACCTGAGAGGTCCCTGGAGATCTAATACTTTCTCTGTTCCTCATGTGGAAGAGGACTCTCTCCTGTGTCCCATGATAGTGGTAACATACACAGAGCTACCATTCTTTACAAACAATATGAAGAAACTCCTGGTCAATTTGCAACTCCTGGTTAAACAGAAAAGTGTAACCCTAAGTTTGGAATGTTTTCTAAAATGAGAAACATTTTGGTCTTTTCATTGATATATTTCCAAAGGAATAAACACATCTTCTGCAAACAGAAAATCTGGGAAGTTTTCTCAATATAGGAAATTTGCATATATATTTACCCTCTAGAAAATTCCTAGCTTCAACTAAATGTAAGGAAATAATTTAATGTATACATTTTATACTCAAGCCATGCAACAAATCATATGCATTTAATTCAACAGTGCTATAAAAAAAAGAACTACATGAGTAATCAAGAATGTACTTAACCTTTCTCTAAGCAACACAGGAAAAAGTTAGTGTGAAATATGTGACAATCCCCTAAAAATATAACTAAAGGGCAACTGGTAAGGTGTGCTGTAAAAATACAATCGGCACTAAGGGAACAAAAAACTGACAAACCAGAAGAAAAATTTGTTTTGGAGTCACGCTCAGTAACAACTGATGTATGCTCACAGTAAAATGAGAAGTATAATGCAAACCTCCCCGAAAATAAAAGACAGCGTAATTTCAACGGTATACCAGCACAGCAGGTCTAAGAGTTAGAAACTTCCTGTGGGCTGAAGAAAAAAATACATAAAGGTTTTTTAAACCTGAAATCATACAAAACTCGAAACTAATACTCAGATATCTTCCATTACAATTATGTAATTGCAAGACAGAGAAAGGAAAAACAAGACAATTCAATTCTTTGGATTTGCTTTTACTTAACATTAAAAATTGACAAAAGTACTTGGAAAGTGTGCAGTCATCCTGGGTGCACCGTGGAGGGAAAAGGCACCCAGCATTTTACTTGTGACTCAAACAGGGGGTAAGTACCAATGCTTCTGAAGAGGGACCTGTTTTATCATGTCAGCTCCTTTAAAATATTAAAAAAAAAATCATGCTTATCTTTCTCTTCCTGAAAAGACAGCTCAGCTCTAAGCCTTGGAAAGAGCAGGCTTATTAGAAAAGAATTAACTCAGCATCTCAGGACAACAGGGAAATAGTTAAAATGGAAAGATGAGCTGTATGACACAGTATTGCAGGGGACTCTGAAAATCTACTCGTGACTCAGCACATAACCAATACCCAGGGTGACTAAAGAATCAGACTAATTAGTTCTTTAGCCACAGCAATCACTGGTATGAGATCAGCTTGGACAGTATCCGATGAAGGGGAAGAGCTACCCATGTGCCAGGCACCAGCTGAAGGTGAGGACTGGGCTGGAGCCAGCAGATGAAGACCTGATGGAAAGGAAGGGTGGCTGTTTCCAGCCTTACGCTGCTCAGACTACAGTCAGCAGGTTGCTTCCTTGTGTCAGATAAAATAATCTTCCACATCTTCACTTCAACAGAGAGATGAACATCATCTTAAATCATTGGCTCCAGTCAAGCCACTGAGTTATTGACAGATTTTCAGGGAAAGAATAATTGGGAGTGGGAGAATTGCAGAAGATGCCCTGAAGGTAGAAAGTTGTGAGAAACAGCTGCCTCCTGCAGAAGAAACAAAGATCTCATTACCTGTTCAGAGTGAATATGCAGAGCAGCAAAACAGAGTCCACGAGCTCGCACCGTAATGACAAGGATGCTGTTGGAGAGATAGCGATCCTCATTGCCACGCTCGGGCATGGCCGAAGAGCTTCTCTTTCTCTGAAAAAGAAGTCTCTACTGCTTCCCAAATATCAGTTGGGAAAAAACTGATAAAAAGTTAATGTCATCTGAGAATGCACAAAGGTTTCTTAGCTGTAAGTGGTATTCTGCTAAAAAAAAGTCTCCTGTACCAACATACCTGTTGAGGCCACCCACTGCCACTGACTTTGACCTCGGCTGACAGCCCAAGCTTCATCATCTGCTGAAGTACGAGACTGAGCTGAATCAGGCTTGGGAGGATTTTTTCTGCAGATCTGAACTTAGTTTGATCAGTTATGGAAGCTTAGATAGATTCTATCTATTGGGATTCTTGCAGAAACCTCAGAAGTTTTAGTTTCTCCAAGATAAACTGGAGCCAAGTGCAGGTTTTCTCCACACAAAGTCCTGAAGGCTTTTACCAGCAGTTTGGTGCTATCCCTGCACGCAATTGTAAAATAAAGAAATAATGTAACATTCAGAACTTAAACTCCTACAAATCAGACTTTGAATCTACATTTAGAAAATTAAATAGTTTGTCTGATCTTCAAAAGTCCAAAATGGTGAATAATTTCTGTCAACTTACATGCATCTTTTGTAGAAGGGGAGAACTAAAACATTCATATATATTTGCAAAATGAAATCCAGATTTACTTCAAAAGATCCATGCTACAGCATGGTTTGAGGTGGGCACTTTAATATAATTATTACATTTGCTTCTACAATTTCACAGCAAGCTCAAGGGTCTTGTGTATTTAAAGCCTGAGCTGGTACTTTTAATTTATGAAGACTGTCCTGCAATCGGGGTTATGCAGCTTCTGGACTCTTCTCCAGCAAATCCAGAAGGACAGCAGCTGAGCCTGGGTCTAAGCATCCCGCTGCCCCTGCCCGGCTGTGGAGGACCGAAGCCCAGCACTACAGAAAGTGTGACTGGTCAGGAGTGTAAAAAGCAGCTTTCAGGAATCATACTGACAATATCTTCCCATGAGATTTTGCCAGCAAGCTTCCCACACAATTAATAGAATGTCCTACACAATGTCAAGACCTTTTAAAAAAGATGTCAAAACCACTTAATTAAAAAAATGGGATCTGTATTCAGTTCAGAAGCGCGGTTCTGTTTAGTTTTGCATTAACAACCTTGGGGGGCTCCGAGAGGGTCGTTTCCATCGGAAAACTCCCATGAAAAGGTCACAGACGTTACCAGTTTCCAGCGTCACAGGCACTCTCCAAGCATAAATATTGACCGTGCTATAGCAAATAAATTAATAACATGACTAGGTATGATTAGGCCAAACACTAACAGCAGCACTGCCTTTTCCCTCCTCCATTATCACCATCCCAAAATACTATGTTACCAGGAGAACTTACTGACAAAAAGCGTAGGGCCTTTATAAAATAACACAGTAGACGCGAAAACCCACGTAGGAGCATTTGGTGAGAGGCAGAGACAGTGCTGGGTTGCATCATCGGGACGGGGCGACGTCCCCGGTCCCTGCCGCACGTGTTGGGGATCCCCCTCTGCCACGCAGCGCTGCGCTGCTCTCACCGGCGTTTGCAGAAGGGCTTTGCTAATGGCCGGGCTAACACGGCAGGGTGCCGCCCAGGTGCTGACCAGCATCTTCACAATAGTTCATTGCATTTGTCCTTTTCTACCCATCTGTCGTCACTTTTGTTTTATAAACAGGACAGGGAGGGTTTCTTGATTTTCTCCCAATACCTAGGAACCTGGAATCTTAATCTATGACAGAGCTATTAGGGGCTTTGACAGGATTAAATAAGGCTTTGGGCTCCGAGCATTTAAATAAGATATCCCATTTCTGAGAAACCAGAATAAGCAAAGCAAATTATACAAAGTTTGGAAACTGGATTTGAAAGTTAAAGTTTGAGCTATCGATTGTTGACATGACTGTGAAATAATAATTACTGCAGCAATACAGCAAATAAACAGCTATTTATATTAGTATTAAAATTCAAATTATATATATAGATACAAGGATAGGCTCCAATTTAAAAGAAAAAGAAAAAAAAAAAGCCAGGAAGAAACGTAACCTCTCACTTTTCACATTTGCAAGCCAAAAGGTATCAAAAATACCCAAAATGTAGTTCTGCTGCCCAAGGTTATGTATTTAGTACTCTATGCCCTCACACACCCATATCCAGAACTTGTTGGGGAGCAGGTCTCTTCCCACTTTTTCTGTGTTCCATCATTTTATCTACCTGATCTCATTTCTCTTCCTGATTCCCCAGATGCTGATGATGCTCCTGATTACTCAAGTTGTTCTACATCTTCACCAAAACTACAAAAATGACCTTCTGCCACATGCAGATGTGAGATACAAATCATGGTATTCTTTAAACGTGAAGGATCTGCAATTTGTCCTTTACTCATAAGTTAAAATTCTCCTGTAGATATAAACTTTGGCATGTGGACCCAATATCCTCGTTTAGATCCTGTGGACCCAATATCCTCATTTAGATCCTTGTGTCTTCTTAACTTATGAAGTCTCGTGCTTTTAGTCCATTTTTAAATGAAGAAATCAGGCAATTCAACAAGTGTTTTAACAATTCTGTGCCACGTTTAACTGTACTTTGCGATATTTCAGCAAACAATGAAAGACATAGGAAAAGTAATAAAATCCATAGATGAAAACTGTCAGGAATTCTACTGCTTAAACAAAAAAAGATGATAATTCTATGCGTAAGGCATAATTACAGTAAAACAGAGTGAATATAAAACTAAAAAAAGCAGTGTTACTGCACTTATCTGTATATCAGCTATCATAAAAAATCCTGCCCACTTCCAGTGCAGCTCTATAACAGGTTTAGCATTCAAACCCTAACCTGTTAACCCTATCACTGGGAAGAAATTTAAGAGAAAAACTGAATCTCAAAGTATTAACATTATGACACGAAAAGCAGGAAATTTCAAGTCAGTGCTCACTGAGCTGCTAGCTTACTCCTTTACTCACTATTTCATGGAAAAGAAAACTAACATCTCGTCTTACCTAAACAATGCTGTAAAGTCAGCAGCAATCAGTCACATCATGATCGAGTCAAATATTCGAGCATATACTTATGTTACTTAGTGAATCAGAGTCTCCACATTTGCTTGGAACTGGCTCGATTCTGATAAGAATCTTCCTTACCTTTGCAGCACATACTTTGCAAGGCTCTTCAAGGAGTATCATAGGTTGAAAATTAAATCATTACAAGAAAAGTCATTTTTAACAGATCATCAGTAAGCAAGAACATGAGCTTCAAAAACTTTGGGGCTTGATTGTCAGCACTGCTGTTTGCTTGACTGGATTTTCTACCTTGCCATCTTTCTTGTATATCCAAGTAAAATTCAAGACAGATGCATTCCCTTTAAATGCTTGGTTGTAGACACAAACTTATTTGCATAGAAATCCTTAATTCTAGTTATTCTTTATTATTTCTCTAACAAGTTAAAGAGAATAGCTCCATATGGGAGGTGGGGATGGAGCACCAGATCAAGCACGCTGCACCAATGCAGTGTGCCCACTTTCCAGAACAATACAGCTTACCGTTTTCACCTTCTTTCTAGTAATTTTCTTCAATATCATCTCTGTGTTGAGAGAATGCAATCCCCATCCTCCAAACCAAAGTGATGGCCTCCGCGCGATGGAAGAGGAGATTAGCAGAGCTGGTTTGGTGATGGTAACTCTGGCAGTCCCAACCAATCAATGACCCTTAAAACCCTGATCTTTTCACTCATCTCTAGCAGAAATCTCTTTAAAAATGTGCCAGCTTTGCATCAACCACAGTCACACGAATAAACAGAGAGCCTACAGCGTCAGTGTGCCCACGTGCATGCAAAACGTACATACTTTACTTACCTTCTAATGACTGGTTAAAGAAAACCTCTGCAAAATAAGGGAAAGTGTAAAAGCTGTAAGAATTCCTCTTAATGGGAAACGTCTATAAAATTAAGTCAAGATAGTGAGATAAATGGTTTGTAATACGGAAGATAATTCTAAGTGTTACTATAACATTCCACAGGGCACCCTCAGTATAACTCAGGTTATGAGTACTGTTATGCAGTAATAAAATATACACTGTATAATCCTTCAGAGACTTGCAAAAACCCAACAAGAAAAAAGAAAACAGAAGATTATTTCTTTCCCTAAGCAGTTCAACCTATAAGAAAACCAAAATTGAATAGCCTAGATAAAGAACGGAAATGCACAGCAGAAATCGGGAAAATAAACCCAAAAACTCATCGGCCTGTTGTTAATAATCACAGAAAACAAGGAAACTACTTCAGAAATTCAATTTACCATTTAGTTTCTGTATGTACACACTGGAATAGCAGGCAGAAAGCAAATATTTTGGCACATGTTGAGACAAGCAGCATTTCCTAGCGCTGTGAGAGCATTCCCAGAAGCATGCTGCCATTTGTCATAATTTTATTAAGCGGTGGAAGAGCCACTGCCGCTGGTTAGGCTCACGCCGCACTATTTCACAGCACAGCATGCCGGTCTGGAGAGGCAGTTAGGGATGAAGTCTCAGTCCACCTGAACAATTAAAATAAACACAGTCTTCGCCTTCATTCCTTACAGCATTTGAACAGCATTACCTCCTAGGGCAAACCCAGCACACACCAAATTGCATCTCTCAAAAATATTTCTTTTTTTTTTTTTAAATAAAAAAAGGCTTTAGAGACAAACAGCAGAGGAAAAAATACCAAGATAGGGGTCAAATCTCCATCTGGCCTGAATCTGTGTGACTATTTTGATTTCATCTGATCCATGTGGATTTGGGCCAGCTGAGGATCTGACCTTTCAACCATGAGCCACCAACAGACTTCCTATGTGAAAAGACATTTCATTGCAGGGTCTCCAGAGACGGCAACCAGCACAGACCTCCCGAGCCCCAGGCTTCCTCAGGGTAACTAAATAAAACACCTGCAAATTATTCTTATTTCTGAGCTGTTCAGTTTACATTGACACACGCTAAAAGGTTTACACTAGAATAGTCTATAA